CAGATTAGTTAACATGACAGAAAAGGAAAATGACAAATCTTCGAGGGAATATGGAAAAATATTGATGAACATTGATGGACTGTTGGTGGAGCTGTGAACTGGTCCAATCATTCTAGAGAACAATTTGGAACTATACCCAAAGGGCTACAAAACTGTGCATACTCTTTGATCCAGCAATACCACTATTAGATGTGTATCTCAAAAAGATCAAAGAAAAGGGGAAAGGACCCACATGCACAAAAATATTTATAGCTTCTCTTTTTGTGGTGGCAAAGAATTAGAAATTCAGGGAATGCCCATCAATTGGGGAATGGCTGAACAAGTTGTGGTATGTGATTATGATGGAATACTGTTGTGCTATAAGGAAATGATGAGCAGGATGCTTTCAGAAAAACCTGGAAAGATTTATATAAACTGATGCAAAGTGAAATGAGCAGAATTATAAGAACATTGTACACAGTAACAGCAATATTGTAACGATGATCAACAACGAAAGACTTAGCTATTCTAACAAATACAATGATCCAAGACAATTCCAAAGGATCCATGATAAAATATGCTATTCACCTCCAGGGAGAGAACTGGTGAACTCTTAGTTTATATTGAAGCATACTTTTTTCAATTTCGTTATTGCTTTTTATTGTTTTGGTGGGTTTTTTCCCACCATGGCTAATATGGAAATATGTTTTGCATGACTTCACATGGATAATTGATTTATTGCTTGCCTTCTCAGTGGGACAGGGGTGAGAAGAAGAGAGAGAATTTGCAACTCAAAATTTTTTAAATGTTATAAATGAATTAAAAATAGATTTTTTTTAAAAAAAAGTTGAGCAGAGGAGTTTATATTTTATTATAGAGGTAAAGAAAGCCACCAGAGTTGACTAAATAGGGAAATTGCACTGTCAGATCTGTGTTTGCTCATTTAACTGATTCTGTGACTTGGACAATAGGATTCTGAAATTATACTTGTTTCTTTTCCTTCAGTTGGCTATATTCTAATAGTACTTCATCCTTGTTTAGCCCCTCAAAGTGCTCAAAATTTCTCTCTGTTTCTCTTGACTCCAATGTTTGTATTTCACAGTTCCTGCTCATAAAAGTCTTCTATTCGATTAAAGATCCATTTTTTTTCTCCTAAAGGATTATATTCCATTTTGCATGGTAAGTTATTCTTGGCTGTAAGACTTTATTTTTTACCTTTGAGAGTATTGTATTCCACAATGTTCTCTCTTTTTAGTAATTGCTGCTAAGTTTTGTGTGCTGCCTAAATTCCTTCTTTATTACTGCTTGTAATATATTTTTTTCTTTGACTTGGAAGCTCTGGATTTTGGGTATGAAATTTCAGAGTGTTTCAGTTTGGTGTTTCTTTTGGTGATGATCAGATTCTTTCTATTTTAACTTTACCCTCTGGTTCTAATAGCTCTGGACAGATTTCTTTTATGATTAAAAACATGTATATTGTATACATGTACATGTAATGACAATTCTACTTCTCAAAAAATATCAAAGAGGAATAGGACCCATATGTACAAAATATATATATATACAAATACATGTGTGTGTGTGTGTGTGTGTGTGTGTGTGTGTGTGTGTGTGTGTTTATAGGGCTCTTTTTTGGGTAGGAAAGAATTAGAAACTGAAGGAATACTCATCAATTGAGGAATGGCTATAGAAATTATGGTAAATGAATGTGATAGAATACTATTATGATATAAAAAACGATGACAGAGCAGTTTCAGACTGTGTGGGAACGGTGAAGACCTCTACCCAAATTGACTACTCAGGAGTCACTCCAAGTAGGGTGCAGAAAATTTATTAGAATCTCATAAGAAGCAGGCAGTCCCACTGCCAGCCAAAAGGACAACAGAAATGCTCACAGCAGGAGGGCCGCTCCCCTGAGCGCATGTGCAGTTTTTATACATCAGTCCTTATCTAACATCACATGACTGAGGCCTCCAGGCTTCAGCTAATCAAGCTAACAGTTACATAGCGGACTGTGAGTTCTTCACCTATCTCATACAATCCCCCCTGTTATTTGTAAAATATATTTACCCTATGAAGAACTGACACTTTGTTCGAATTCCATCAACATTTCCACACATTGTTTGTCAATCTCCCTATCTGGGTCGTCTCTCCCAACTGTGGGCTCACAATCTCACACACCAGGCTCTAATTTAGGACAAAGGACATAGTATAGACATCTCTATATTTCTTAGTTTGTTGAGATAATGTCAAAGAAGCAATTAAAAGAAATGTGCAGTTAGGAAGATAATTTACAATTGTTTTTGGGAGGTCTCAGGGATTGAATAGATAATGTTGGGAACAGAAAGATATCTGAATAAAACCCTGTCAAAGGGAGATAAGGGGACTTGAACATTTAGGGGTTGTCTGGGACTTGGGACAAAAGGCACATCAAGATAAGATCAGAAGGCAGGCCAGGGCTTAACAACTAGACAAATTTTAACTGCTAATATTTGGCACTAAAAAGAGAAGATCTTACAGTAATCTATTCTTAACCCTATCATACGTCCTGAACTCACTACCTTAATTACACTGAGAAGTCCTCACTGGGACATCCCATCCAAGACAAACCTGGGAAGACCTGAATGAACCGATTCAGAATGAAGTAAGTAGAACCAAGAGAACAATTTATACAACAACAACTATATTATTGAGACAAACTACTCTGAAAGATTTAGGTTTTTAAATTAGAATTCTCTGATCAACACAATGACCAGCCACAATTCCAGATGACTCATGATGAAACACGCTACCTATCTATTTATAGACAGGTGATAGACTCAGAGTGCAGATGAAATGGAAACTTTTTTTTTTGACATAGCCAATGAGAAAATTTGCTTGTAGCAAGGGATTTTTTAAATTTCTTAATTGGGAGGCAGAATGGGGAGCAAGGAAATGGGAAAAGAAGATTTTTCATTTGAAAAGAAAATCCTTTTTAAAAAAGAAATATAATGACCAGGATTTTATTTTGCTTTATTGATCATAGTTTTCAAGGAGTCTGATGATTCTTAAATTATCTCTCCTGAAACTTTTCCAAGTCAGTTATTTTTGATAGTTGATAGCTTACATTTTCTTCAATTTTTCAATCTTTGACTTTCTTCTATTATTTCTTGTTTTCTCATTGAGTCACTGAGTCTTACTTGTTCTATTTTTCAGGGAGTCCAACACTTGGACAAGTTTTTCCCCATTCTATTCTAAGCTATTTATTCTCCTTTCAATTTTATTTTGTCTTGAACTCTGTGTCAAGGTGCTCTGACTCTAGAGCCAGGGCTTTTTCCACTGTAGCATGCCGCCTCCCTAAATAGTCATTGTCACATTAACAAACATTTATTAAACATCTACTATGTGTCATGGAGAAGAAAATGGCAAACCACTCCAATATCTTTGCCAAAAAAAAAAAAACCCAAAAACCCAAATGGTGTCACAAAGGTTGGACATGACTGAAATAACTCAACAACAAAAAAACCTACTCATTAAAGCACATTCATCAGCATTGCTGCTTGGCAACATTTTGTAATCATTAGTTGCTGTTACTATAAAGGACTCAAAATCAATAAAGCTGAATTTCATTACAAATATTCTACAAATCCTGCTTTTCTTCAATTCACCATGGCCTTCCTTTCCACTGCCGGATCTATGAGGTTTTACTCTACCTTGGAAGTGAGGTCTCTTCACACCCCAAATATATGGCCTGGATCTGGTATTAAAGGACTTGGGTTCAAGTCCTAAATGCCACATTCTGTGTCACTTGGACCAAGTTAATTCAGCCTGTTTCCTCAGCTATAAAATCAGGATAATAATATGTGTACTTCCTACCTAACAGAGATATACTGTGAGTTTTTAAAAAACTTCACCTACGCTATTAAATGTATATCATTGGGAGCTGTCATCGTTATTAATGAGTGATCATAGCTCTTCAGTCATTGCTTAAAAATGGTAATGAATTCACTTTGGACTGAAGCAATCAGGAGCAACAACAAAGTTTGGGTGCCTCCTTGTGGTGAAATTAAGCAGCCATCACACTTGCTAATTGGCAGTTACATGGGCTAGACAGGCGATAGATCTAATTACCTGGGTTCAGAACCCCAAAACTAATTATTATCCTAGACTGGATCCTCCTCATTGGTGGTTGAAAATGGAACTTACTTAGTTCACACCCTATTCTTAATGAAAATCTCTTTCGTATTTCATTTTTATTTTTATTTCAGATATATGATTTAATGAATTGGAACTCCTAGTGTGGAAACTCCCTCCATTAATGCAGTTTGGGAGATTGTCAAATTATGAACCAATCCTAACTCTAGAGCAAATAGTTAATAATAACTTAGATTTGTAATAATAATAACATTATATTTATATTGAATTGAATTTATATTACATTGAATGTTCACAAAGGTTTCTCATTTGAACCTTGTAACAATCATCTGAGGACAATACTAAGGGTATTATTGTCACCTGCATTTTACAGATGAAGAAACAGTGACTATAGGCTGCGAGTAAGCACCAGAAGTAAGATTTAAATACACATCTTCCTGACATCAAGTTGAGCCCCTATACAGTGGATCACATTACCTCACTTTTTGGTGCAGACCTGTGATTTAATCCATGAAAGGAACTACTGGCAGATCAGCACACATCAATAACTCAAAAGTCTTGGACAGTTGTCTGAGGCATTGAGAAGCTAAGTGACTTGTCCATGGTACCAGAACTAATGGCTTTCAGAAACAGGTCTTCCCAGGCTTCCATCCACTATATCACCTCCTTTTACTTCTCAGTTAGTCCGGTGCTCTTTCCTTTGTGGTTTGTGTAGACCATGGGAGTTCCTAAAGCCTCTCTGTTGGATGACACCATATTCAGGCCTATTTTGTGGCAGAACAGGTTCTTCCACATACTTAGGAACTCAGAGAAGACAATTTCCTCTTCTACTGAAACTTCTTGCTGTGGCCAAGATGACTTTCATATTGGTGGTTTCCTGAGTTCTAACCACCACAAGTATTAGGTTTCCAAAGCAAAGCCATGAACTTGGGGGCTTATGGTTCCTTTATATCAAATCAATTCATGTATGTTAAGTAGTTTCAAATTTTAAAGCACTATGTATAAGTAAATTATTACTATTATTATTTCTTGGAAAGGAAAGTCCTCCCATGATGCTAACCACAGAAGATTGCTTTCATATGAGCACGTTTCATGGAGACAGAGAATTCAAGGTAAGTGCTGAGCTTCTCCAATAGGTCTCTTCCCTCTATGGTTAGATTTTCAGTCACTTACGTGATGGTCTTATGTGTAAGAACCTCATTAGAAAGAAAAAAATATCTTTAGTTGCAGAAATAACTCTCTAGCTTCTGCCAAGGAAATATAGAGGAGGGATGGGGTAATGCAGGAAATTATAACTCTATGATAGAACCAGTTTGACCATAGTAAGTCAGCTTATGTTTTGGGCTGGTCTGCCAAATTGCACTGGAATGAAAACCAAATAAGTTCAATTTTCTATGCAGAGAACAAACTATCAAGAAAAGATGCCGTATATGAGGCCTTTTTGCCTTTGACCTCCTTGAGATATATGGTTAGCAATGGGATTTCTGGGTAGAAGAATATGGACATTTCACTCATTTTCTTAGCATAATTCCAAATTACTTTCTAAAATAGTCGGACAAATTCACAGTTTCACCTTCCCTCACTGAGGGTTTTTTCTTTCCACAGCCCCTACAAAACTCTCTTTAAGAGAATTACTTAAATAATTAGAGAGATATTTATTGCTCGTGGTTGAGTTGAGTCAATATAATAAACTTGATACTATCTAACTTCATTCAAAGATTTAGTGCTATACCAGTCAATCTGTCGGTGCTAGACAAAATGATAACAAATATATTCACAGGGACAAAAGATCTAGAATCTCAAAAGAATCATTTTTTAAAAGTCAGAATGGGGGGCAGCTAGGTAGTGCAGTGTATAGAGCTCTGGCCTTGAAGTCAGGAGGACATGAGTTCAAATCCAGTCTCTTGACACATGACACTTACTAGCTGTGTGACCCTGGGCAAGTCACAGAACTCCGATTGCCTCATCAAAAAGCAAAAAAAAAAAAAAGGTTGGAATGAAGAGAGAAAAGCACTGCTAGGCTTCAAATAATACTGTAAAGCATTTAATTATTTACTACTAGTTTGGGTGATTTTTGAGTATTGCAATTCATTAAATGGTATAAGGAGCACAGGACTGAAGTGCTTATTTTCCTGACAGTTACTCAAGATCTATTGACAAAGAGACGCAAAAGTCTGTTACTCAGGATTGCTAGTCCTGTGAGACAGTAAGACTCTTTTATCTGGTCCTAGGTGGACCTTATCTATGAAGTCTGTAGTTTTTAGAGAAAACAGAAACACCTTCCCAGTTTGTTTAGGAATATAAAGCAAAAATACCAAGAAGCAATTGAATCCACATGGCTATGAAGTACAATAAACAATCATTGTGGGCACAAATATCCCAAAAGAATTCTCTTTACCTCTGAATTGCTTGGCTATTTCCAAGAAAATGGCTTCTGGACTTCTTATCAGAGGAGAGAGAAGACAAAGACCTTTGATGAAGGGGATTTACAACAATCCTTTGGGATTCTATATTTGAATGCCTACCTAGACTTTGGAGGAGGAAATGGTTTATGCAAGGGAGAGAAATGAATACAAGGACAAGACAGCTATGCATTAAGGTGTGTAAGCATGTATACATTTTCTAGCAAATGATGTCAATTTATTTATGTTCACAAAGAAAAGGAATGACACAGTTAGTTAAATCCTAAAGTGCAAACATATCTTTATAAACATTATGCGAAGGTTCGTAGACACTAACCAGACATGATGGAATTAATTGCAGCATGCATAGAGTTTAGCACACCCTGCCACTATGCTGAAAAATAGCAAATTGAGAGGTTACAAAATAAATTTTTGGCTTTCTCAGAGCTCTCATTTTTGAGCAGTCTCTCCCTGACAGTTTCACCAAGTTAGGAATAAGTGCTAGACATGAAATTTCATTGGCATAGGCATAACAGTACTAATATTAGACAGCCTACAAGAAACAGAGACTTATAGACAGCTCTGAAATGCCCCACTCCACGTCTCAGGGAGACCAGAGTTCCTTCCACCATTGTGGGGAGTAGGAAGATGACTATGGCTAGGTAATCACTTCCTTACTTCCTATCTTCAAGAAGAGTATTAGGTTTTTCATTCTGTTTTCTTTCACAGCATGACTTACATGGAAATGGGTTTTGCACAACTACACCTGTATAACCTATATCAAATTGCTTGCCTTCTCAATGAGGGGGACAGGGAGAGAGAGAGAGAATTTGGAACTCAAAATTTGTAAAAAGAATGTTAAAGTTGTTTTTTACATGTAATTGGGGAAAAAATTAAATATTGGGTTTTTTTTTTTAAAAAGAAGCATATTAGGCTTAGAATTATATCTACTTATCACAAGATATTTGAAGTCTATGGGTCTGATTCTTTTGGGAGTTCAGGATAAAAGCCTGATAAAACCCCCATCTCTCAGGGAATAATTCTTCCCCAAACATGGAGTATAACAGTTAATTCAATATCATATTGCTTAGCTTCCCTCCAGACAAGTGCTTATCACACAAAAGACAACAGAAGATATTGAGCAAATATCTTTATCAAAGCAAGCAAGGCAGTCATCAGGAAAGGCATACAGATTAGTTTAGGTGACATAATACACAAGAGTGAGGGGGCTCTTTGACTCAAGAGAAGATTAAATTTCAGCTCATTTGGAAAGGGGAACTATTTCATTTAGTAGGTTCACTCTTAGCCATCTCTGAGATTTCAGGCTCTGGGAATCAGGGACATGTTGAGGTGCCAGATTTCTCCTGTGGCTCTTGGGATATCTTCTGTTAGCCATTCAAAATCAGTGCCTTTCCTCTTTTTCTCATTCTTCTCTCTGCCTCGCTGTCCCAGTAGTCCCTTAGCCAACCAGGCAGGGGCCATGTCTTCCCATGTGGTCACTGACATGGTCAAAGACATCTGTCTTTCAGGGTATCCCCAAGGCCACCTTGGAGTAGGGTTATATAGAGAACTCCCAAGTGAGGAAACTCCTACCAGTCTAGATGTGTACCTTCTCTGCAACTCATAGTCTTAGAAAGTTGCCTAGAAAACTAGGGTTAAGTGATTTACCTAGGATCATACAGCCAGTATGTGTTAAAGACAGGACTTGAACCTCCTGGCATTGAGACTAGGTCTCTATCCACCATGCCACACTACTTGGAAGTCTTTTTGGGGAGGAGAGGAGAGACATGGGAGGAAACCATCAGGGTTAAGTGATTTGCCCAGAATCACATAGCTACTAAGTATCTGAGGCCAGATTTGAACTCAGGTCCTCCTGACCCCAGGGCCGATGCTCTATCCACAACACCACCTAGCTGTTCTGGAAGTCCTGATGAATAGGTTTGGAAGAGGTAAAGCATAGGGAGAGTGGAATAATAGCAGGTTCTGTCATATTGGGGAATGTCAGAGTTTCCCATTAGGGAAGTGGAACATTAAGGGTAATGGTGAATTGTGTGCGTAACCAACCCTTCGTGTGCTAAGGTGTAGTAAAATCAGCCATGGGATTAAAGGAGACTAAGGAATTGATAGGTTAAGGGGTTTGAGAGATATTAAAGTCCCTAATATGAAGGCAAGAGTTGAGGGAGAAAAGAAAGATGGTGAGCCAGGTGCTGAACTCCTTGAGAAAGGAAGAAAAATGACCTGAGGATTGGAATAGCCCAGTTACCATAATTTGAATTGGACAGAAAATATTAGTTTAATAGACTTCACAGTGCAGGTGGGTGCAAGCTGGCAAGCAGGTGTCAAATACCCATTACATTAATGATATAGAAATGATAAACAGTGCTTAAAATGGTGCTCTTAAGTCAAAGGACATTAAATAAAAGCAGTGAAGATTATGGGAATTTTCTGGAGGGTGAGAAAAGCATTTGGTAGAAGGCTGCTTTGGCCTTTGTTTCAATAATTAAATTTGCAGCCAAGCTACATGGTAAATAATTTTTAAAACCAAGCAGACATCAGACACTTTCAAGGAAGCAAGTTTCAGGACCACAGATGAGGTAACAATTTAACTAATGGGCATCTGCATCTACAACTGCACCTTCAAGCATCATAATGATGACCCTGGGTCATTAAGAAAATAGTTTGGTATGCTGGGTTTAACAAGGTAAGGACGTGCACAATGTGTTTTATAAAGATTTCCATTCAAGGGGGCAGCTAGGTGGCGCAGTGGATAGAGCACTGGCCCTGGATTCAGGAGGACCTGAATTCAAATCCGGCCTCAGACACATAACACTTACTAGCTGTGTGACCTTGGTCAAGTCGCTTGACCCCATTGCCTAGCAAAAACAAACAAACAAAAAAAAAAGATTTCCATTCAGTATTTCAGTGTTTAAAGCTTTGTTTACTTACAAAACTCTCCTCCCCAGATGATCTCTGAAGCTGAAAAACAAAACTTATCAGCTAATTTTCTTCCCAAGATGAACTAGGTGCATAGGTAATCATCTATATATCTGGTTAACTCCATGACCTGTGAGCAATCAGTGTGCCACAGTATCCAAAATTCTACCATTGTAGATTCAAACATCAGTCATCAGTTAACAAGCATTTACTACGTATTTACTATGAACTGGGCACTGTGCTAAGCACTGGGAATGCAAATGTAAGCAGAAAGAGGGTCTCTGCCTTTAAGGAGTTTCCATTCTAATGGGAGAAGATAATACACTAAAGGAAGCTAAAGGGAATGGGGGAGCAGTACAAAAATCCAGAGGGAGAGGATATGGAGGTGGAGATGACTTCCAATATAAGAATTTCAGAACTGGAATGAAAATGAAGGGGCTCCTGGGACATAGTAGGAAAATTCTGGATAGAATCAGAAGAAAGGGGTATGCACTGTGATCAACAATACAAAAGGAAAAGTCAATGAGAATGAACAGATAAAAATTTCTGGTGGGGACTTGGAAAAATTGAAAAGTCATGGTCTACTTGTATTAAAATTAATTATTTAGATGTAGTTACAAAGCATTTGGTTGGTTATTTAGTTGTACTAAGCACAATGTATTGACATTCATTGACTTTTTAATGAAGCTTTTATTTTAAAATACATAATGATTCATTACAGCTAGCCAATCTCATACATTCCATTCACTTAACTACCAGGAATATGGAGCTGACAATCAAATCAATGTTTCCAACCATTCCTGCTGACAAGAACATGACAATCAACAGCCCAGACATTCTACTCACAGTTCTTGAATATCCTTTTTTTCCCCTGAAGAATTATATTCAGTTTTGCTGGTAGGTCCCTCTTGGGTGTAATCCTAGCTCTTTTGCCTCCAGAATATGACATTCCAAGCCTTCCAATACTTTAATACAGAAGCTGCTAAATCTTGTGTTTTAGTTACTGTGGCTCCACAGTACTTGAATTGTTTCTTTTTGGCTGCTTGCAGTATTTTCTCCTTGGCCTTGCAGTCTGGGGTTTGACTATTATATTCCTGGGAGTTTTCATTTTGGGGTCTCTTTCAGGAGGTGATTGGTGGATTCTTTCAATTTCTATTTTACCCTCTGGTTCTAGAATATCAGGGCAGTTTTCCTTGATAATTTCTTTTTTTTTTTTCATTCAGGACATTTATTTTAGCAAACAGTTGAATCCTCAAGATGAACTAGATGCTACAACAGCTGTTCTCTTGGGTTTAGGTGTTGTTCCTTCACAGAATCCATTCCTGAATTGGCGACAGACAATTTTTAGGTGCCTCATTCGACCAGTACCAATGGTGTTGTGTTGCTTAGCCTTTGTACTCCAATAATACTTTCTCTTGAGTTTAGCAAGATATCCACATTTGCCACATGTTGACTTCTGAAGATGGTATGCCTTAGAACCACAACGATGGCACAAAGTATGCATTTTATTCCGCTGCTACGAAGACATCCCCTTTGTCATCTTCTTCCTGCCACCGGGACCAAAAAAAAAAAAGCAGCGATAATTTCTTGAAAGATGTCTAGGCTCTTTTTTTTTAATTGTGGTTTTCAGGTAGTCCAATAATTTTTAAATTATCTCTCCTTGATCTATTTTCCAGGTCAGATGTTTTTCCAATGAGATATTTAACATTTTCTTCTTTTTTCATTCTTTCAATTTTGTTTTATTGTTTCTTGATGTCTCATGAAGTCATTAGCTTCTGCTTGCCCAATACTAATTTTTAAGGAATTATTTTCTTTAGTGAGCTTTTGTACCTCCTTTTCCATTTGGCCAATTCTACTTTTAAAGGAGTTCTTTCCTTCAGTGAATTTTTGTATATCTTTTTCTATTTGGCCAATTTTGCTTTTCAAGGTGTTCTTTTTCTCTTCATTAGATTTTTTTGCCTCTTTTAACATTTAACCCATTCTATTTTTTTTAAGTTGGGTTAAGCTTTTTATTTAATGTTACAAAAAATATTTAGTCAAACAGACTAAAGCTCATGTCATCATTTGACTCCTAAGATTCTTCTTTTTTTTGCTTCCTCTTTCTTCTTCTCCTCAGCTGGGGCAGCTGTGCTAGCAGGAGCTGCCCCTCCAGCAGGGGCTCTTACATTGCAGATAAGACTTGCAATGTTGACATTGAACAGTGCCTTTGCAAATAATCCAGGCCAGAATGGTTCACCATTTACACTTGCTGCTTTAATGAGGGCATTGATTTTATCCTCCGTAACTGTAACCTCTTCATCGTGAAGGATGAGGGCAGAGTAGATGCAAGTGAGCTTGGAGACAGCCATTTTAGCAGAAGGATGAGGAGACACTTGTTTGTAGTGGTGCTAGTCATCAGATGAAGTGAGGGTTCACCCCAACTCAGCCTTAACTTCTGAAGAAGAACCAAGCATCTTACAGACAACTGAAGAGTCATTCTATTTTTTAAGGTGTTTTCTTCAGGTTTTTTGTGCCTCCATTATCAAGCTGTTGATTCTTTTTTCATAATTTTCTTGCATCTCTCTCATTTCTCTTCCCAATTTTTCCTCTAGCTCTCTTACTTGATTTTTAAAATTCTTTCTGAGCACTTCTATGGCTCAGAAAAATTCATATTTTTTTGAGGTATTGGATGTAGCAGTTTTGACTTTGTTGTCTTCTTCTGTGTTTGTGTTTTGATCTTCCTTGTCACCATAGCAACTTTCTATACTCAGGATCTTTTTCTGCTGTTAGCTCATTTTCCCAGCCTGTTTCTTGACTTTTTAACTGCTAACGTGGGGCTTTGCTTCCAAAATGGAGGGGCCACTGTCTTAGGCTTCAGAGTTGTTAGGGTTTTTTGCAGTTGTTTTCAGAGATAATTCTGGGAACCTGCAAGGTTTTGGTTCTTCCAAAGTGGTATGATCTAGGGAGAAGTGTTGTTACTACTTTCCTGCCCTATGCTCTGGTCTGTGAGTGACCAAAAGCATTCTTTCCCACCTGGAACTATGGCCAGGATGCCAGCCCCTGAAGCCACAAGCTCTGGTGTGCTAGTCCTTCTCATCACCCTGGGACTGAGACCCAGGACTGCAACTTAGATCCAACTATGGGCAATGCAACAGTCTTGCCCCTGCTACTGGCAAAGGGATCTTTGTAATTGCCTTCTGACTAGTTGTCTAACCTCCTTACCATCTGTGGGCTGAGAGGTCAAGAAACTGCCATTGCCACCACTGATTCAGTCACCTCCAAGGCCTACTGCTGGTTTGCTGGGGCACAACCTGTGTCAGACTGCACTCCACTCTCACCCCCATGCAACAGACCTTCCCTGTCAACCTTCAAACTTGTAATGGGCTGGAAAATTGTTTGACCTTGTCCTTTTTTTGGGTTTTGCTCCTCCAGAATTTCTTTTGAGGCATTTTTTAAAGTTGTTTGGAAGGACTTGTGGGAGAGCTCAGGCGAGTCCCTGACTTTTCTCTGCCATGTTGGCTCCACCTTTCCGTTTACAATCCTTGTAACTCCCCAGACCAAAATTCCTTTCCTGGCCACCACTCTTCATTCGTGTGGTCTCTCCTTATTAGAATATAAGCCCAGGGTGGGGGCTGTTGCAGAGACCATTTAACTTCTGTATTTATATCCCCCAATGCCTGGCAGTATCTAGTACATAGGGTGCTTAATAGATGCTCCTTCTTTCATTCATGTGAATACTCCTCCAATCAATGTAAATTACAATCTGTCTTCACTTTCGTATGTCATCCTTATAAGTTGCTGTGAATGTTGTAAATATGTTCCAAGTTCCATATCTCTTAAACTGTTTCCCTTTTTAAAAGCAGTATGTTTTAAGAGGCCTAAATTAGTTAAGTCTGTGCTTACCTTTCCTTGTACTTAGAGGGTTAATTCTTATCGTGAGCAAGTAAGGATGAACAATTTAATCTCGTTAGGACAGCTTCCCTTGTGCCTTGAAATTAATATACTCCATGTTTTTCTTTCAAAAGTTGTTCTAATTCTGCTGCCTCTTAAGGAAAGGGAAAATGGGAGTGCTAGCCTTAAGAACAAGAGGAAGATAAGATACTTTCCCCACTGCTACCACTACACTGTTAAGATGTTGTCATATGAGAAAAAAAAAAAGATGTTATATGCCTGCAGCATTTCTCAAAAATTAATCACAAATGGGGAGAAACAACTGAAAAACTCAAATTCAGAAATAGATTTGGGAGCAGTGGTAAGACTTAACTCAACTCTGTTGTAATGAGAATGTACCATTGAACAAAGATAGATTCATGCCAAAATACAACTTGAATATTAGCTAAATGCTAGGATTTGAAATTATTTGTTTCATAAAAACCTATGCAAGTTGTTACCTCAACAGTTAGATAATTATGCCTCTATAAAACTTAATGTAGACAATTAAAAAAACAAGCAAACATATACATTACATATGTATATATACAAATACACATAGTGCTGTGCATATGTGCATGTATATTTGTGTGTGTGTGTGTGTGTGTGTGTGTGTGTGTGTGTGTGTCTATGGCCAATCTTCTCCCCTAACTTAGCTAAGCTAGTCTTCCATCAAATGAGTTATGGTTCACAAAAGCTTTCTAATTTGGTACAGCAGAGAAGTTCCTACTGGAACTTGGACTCTGGCTGCATGGCCTTCAAAACTCCGGTCACCTCAGGATGAGTCATTAGAAAAATTCTAGTTGCTTTTTTTGTTTGTATTTATTATCTTAAAAAAATTTTTTTTAAATCACCCTAGTTTCCCAATATATTCCTCCCCCCTCTCTTACACAGAGCCATCTCTTATAACAAAAGAGAAAAAATAAAGAAGAAAACAAGCAGCTCAGCACAACTATTCAACACTGCAATCATATCTGACAGCATATGCAGTGTTCCACATCCGTAGTCCCCTACCTCTGCAAAGAAGGTAGGGAAATATGTCTTTTTTTAATATCTCTTTTGGCAGGGCAAGAATTAGCATCATGATTACTCAGCATTCAGTTTAGATTTTGTTGCTATTGTTCTTTCTATATACATGGTAATAGTCATTATGTATTTTGTTTTCCTGGTTATGCTTACTTTGTTTACTTTGCATCAGTTCATATAAATCTCCCCATGCTTCTCTGTATTCTTCATATTCTCCATTTCTTTAGGCAATGTTCTTTTGAAAAACAAATACCCCTGTAAGGAATAATACATTAAAAATCATAAATATATTTGTGAGAATTTGTTTGGCCAGATCTGAGAGAAGGGAGAGAATGAGGCAGAATGAGAACATGAGGTTCTTAGGAGAAGAGAGCAGGAAAGGGGCTGAAGAAGACCAGAGACAAATTTCCCCTACTTAATGATATTGTCCTGGGGCAGCTAGGTGGTGCAGTGGATAGAGCACAGGCCCTGGAGTCAGAGGACTTGAGTTCAAATCCAGCCTCAGACACATAACACTCACTAGCTGTGTGACTGGGCAAGTCACTTAACCCCAATTGCCCTCACCAAAAAATATAAATAAATAATGATATTGCCTTAGGCCAGAACAGTTCCTTCCTATAATTCAAATGATTACCAATATTCTTGCCTGCAAATTTCACTGTCCATTATTCAGCTTTCTTATAGAGTGCTGATTTCAATCAATGTGTATATAATTGTTCACACTTCATTGGATTTAGAATTGAGAGATATCTTATAAATTATTTAGTTCAACCCCTTCAGTTCAATTCAATTCAATCAACCTAGCATTTATCAAGCACCTTCTAGGCTCTGAAGGTGGAATTGAAGCTTATAGAAGCCTTCTCAGAATAATGTTTACAAAGGCATAAAAATAAAATACATAGGAAGCCAAAGTTTAGTGAAAATAAAGATGCATCTTTCCCCCATCCAAAGTTCACAGACCTCCTGAAATCTATGGATCCTAGGTTAAAAACCCCTGCTCCGAAAGATATAAAGCAAAAAAAAGAAGTTTTTATAACAAAATAATCTCTGCCCTCACAAGTTTATAACTGAGATCCAAAGAAGCTAAAGATTTAACTAAAATTACATGTGTAGTAAATAATAGAACTAAGATTTGAATCTTTCCACTATAGCACACATTGGTGGACACATAAATTAATTAACTTTTGGAGAGTTTAAAACTGAGCCTGCCCAATGGGCTATACAATACAATTAGATAAACAATAATAAAATTCATTTTTAAAAAACAGATAAGAACAGCAAGGGGAGCTATGAAAAGGAAAGAAAATTAAGGAAAGGAGACTTGACACTGACAAATCTCAAAGTTTATTATAAAATAGTAATTATCCAAAAAATGACCATGTACTAGTTAAAAATAGACAAATTAATCAATAGAACAAAATAGAAAAACTAGAATTATAATCAATGAAATAAAAAGATTACTGTTTCATAAATTCAAGATTATAAAACATCAGGGAAGGGAATTATTAAATAAAAGTAGTTTGAAAAATTGGATGACAATACTGCAAAAAAAGTTTATCATACTTTATACTAAAAAATATTATAATTGGTTCACCAACTTAAATTGTTTAATTAAAGCATTGAAGACAAACATCTATCTCAACTATACAGAGAAGGAATTTTTTTAATGTTCTGATTTGCTATCATGATTTTCTATTAATTTTCTATCTATTATATCCCAGAAATTAGCACAGTGGCAGACATGTTGTAGGTGCTTAATAAATGTTTATTGAATTGGATTAGAACACTGGAGAAACTTATTGGAGAGGAGATAATAATAATAATAATAATAATAATAATAATAATAAAGGTTTTTGGTACAACAAAAAGCAACTTATCCAAAATAAAAAGAAACACAGTGAGAAAAAAAAATCTTTGTAGTAAGTAGATCAGATTTTAAAAAAATCTACCATCCAAAAGTAATTGACACAAATTTATAATAGCTCACATTTATATAGTGCTTTAGATTTACAAAGTGCTTTCTTCGTGTGAGCTAGTTAGTGTATTATTATTGTTATCCACTTTTTATAGGTGAAGAAACTGAGGTCAAGAATGGGGTAAACTCACACAGCTATTATCAGGGTGTAAATGTGAAACTAGGTCAACTGACTCTAAATCAGGTATTCCTTCCATTACTTAAATATACCACTCTCAAAAAAAAAAAAAAGAAAAAAATTTAAAATCTGCTCAAATTGGGGCAGCTAGGTGGCCCAGTGGAAAGAGCTCCTGCCTTAGAGTCAGGAGGACCTGAATTCAAATCCTGCCTCAGACACTTGACACTTACTAGCTGTATGATCCTGAGCAAATCACTTAACCCTGATTGAACACACAAAAAAGTGCTCAAATTTTCTTATAATCAGAGATATACAAATTAAAATAATTTTGGTGAACCAGCTAAATCCATTCCATTGACAGATTTGACAATTATTAAAATTCAGTGTTAGCATTGTTGAGGGGCATTGTGAATTAAGGATCTCTTTCTGGAGCAGGATCTGGTAAATATTCTCTTTAGGTACCAGGGGCCCCAGTGGACTTGGAGTCAGAAGAGAAGCTTGAATTCTCTCTCAGACACAAGCTGTGTGACCTTGGGTGAGTCATTTCCTTATCTTTAAAATGAGCACAGTAATAGTACCTACTTACAAGGTTTTCATAAAGATCAAAGGAGAGAATGTGTGTAAACTTCAAAGTGCTATGTAATTGCTAGTTATTATATTCAATAAGTTTCCAAACTAATCATATTATTTGACTCAATAATGCCACTATTATGATTATCTTAATGATGTAATAAAAAGAAAAAAGGCCTGTATTTTGGCAAATTTATCTGTTTATATTCATAGTGACTTTATTCAATTAGGGAATATCTGAATTGTGTCAAGTCACATTCATTCAGTAACACCTTACTGGGTTAAGATTTTTTTTTTTTAAATGTGAGGTCTAGTCCTGGTCACACTAGATGTAGGACCTTAGGAAAATCACTTACCCTCCTAGATTCTCATCGTCTTATCAGTAAAACTGGGATAAAAATACTTGCCATGCCTCCTTCAGAATAGACGTGACAATCAAGTGAGACAGGTATTAAAATCATGTTGTTAAGTTGTAAAAGACTAGACAATTATAACCTTTTATTATTAGCAACAACAAAAAAGAAGATAAGAAAGGTTCAATATATTTAAATTCCTTAATATTAGAAGAATAAGTTTCCAAATCAGAGGAAATTCACACCATTATCTATAAGGAGAACATAGTTCCCTAATGCATTACCAGACATAATTACTTGAATTTTGTCTGCATCATTAGAACCACTAAATTATTATAACAAATGAGAAAATGACCACAGAAATGTGAAAGATTCTGGAATGGTAAAAGGCATTGTGGTACAGTGGAAAGAACATTGGATAGGGAGTTGAGACCAGAATTCAAAGTCACTCCACTATTAGCTTAGCTGTATAACCTTGGACAAGTAAATTCTCCATTCTAGGCCTCAGGTTCCTCATCTCAAATGAGATTTGGACTAGATGACCACCATGAGGCAACTTTCCCGTGACCCACGCTAGCACTGGCAGGCTGTTCTCTAGAACTAGTTGACTACCTCTCCCCTTATGAGGATACATCTGAGAGGCTAGGGGTGAGTTTCTAACGCTATAGCTTATGAGCCCCCAACAGGGTGCTTCTCCCTATACTTCTCAGTTGATATCAGTTAGCAGACTTAACTAGCTTTTAGGGAAATGTATTTATTAAGATGTCACAGTAAGAATAGTTTATTGGTACAAAATATTACCTTCCAAAAGTCTATGATACTCTGTCCATCTGTACTACAGAGTCCAGGGGAAAGTGGGCTCAAGCTTAGACAGCGCATGAGGCAAAGGAACAGTTCACAGCTCTTGATTGCTGGAAGTCCTTTTCACCCCTTTGTAGGACACTCATGAAGTTCCTTTAGGAATGACATTGTTTTTTCTGCAAGGCTCCTTGTAGAATCTGGAAGCTGCCTTGCCTGACTACGTTTAGTTCATCCTTAACTCCTAGTGCTAATACTCTATCATCTGTTCTGGGAACACTTTTGGGACTGGGGAGTCAATAGAAGTCCAAAAACCTTCCCACCCTCAGAAGTCTACAAGGTCCTCCTCTCATCAAGGGGAGTGGTAGAAAGAGGAAGCTAAGATACTTTCTCCTGCCCTAGTGATTTCTTTTCAGAAGCATGGCTGGAAGTTCTCTACTGCTAAACCATCAGATGCTGAAATCCTCAGTTCCAAACTAGTTTGCTGGATTTATACAAGCCCCACCAGTCATGACCAAGTCTCCTCAACTAATTGGAATATATCTCCTAAGCTCCTTGAGTCAATTTCTTCTACTGCCTTTCACAGACTTCTAAACTGATCAAAGACTTAGCACTAGTCTAATGTCTTTTACTGATGATTGATTCAGTGAGATGGCTAGGCCTTCTTCACACCTAGTTCATACCTCTGTTAGATAGATTGGTAAGATGTGTTCTCACCTGATAAAAGTATCAAGACCAAGTGAGATGACTGATTGATTCAATCACCTCTATCTTTATAGTTGTATTGCTTTATAATACTAAAGTTAAATTTCTATAATCTAAAAGTATAAAAGAAGTAAAGCCAATTGCTATTAAACAGGGAATATGAAAACATCATAAATATATTCAGGATATGACAAAAGATGAAGTCATACCTGCCTCAAGTGATACATGAAAATAAGGATGATGCATCTTATAATACTGTCATAAAACATATAAATTGCTAAAGAAAGGTGTGTCAAGATGACTGCCTACAGGTAACACCTGTAGGAAGCATATGGCAATAAATAAAAAACTACACAGTAGAAATTAGTCAGCAGGTACATTGTAGGCACAAATATGTTTTAGAAAAGGAAGATTATGGCCTTTCTCCTTGGATTTGTGGGCAGGAGTGGGTGTGGAGGGAATGAGAAAACAGAATA